CAATAGTTTGAATAGGTTTGGACTTTGCTTTTGTTTTCTCAGACACAGTATCATCGGTCATATAGGGAAGAAGTTGATACCAAATTTGAATAGGTTGTTTACTTGACAAATAATTAGGTTATAAAAAATGGCACATTGTTAAAGAAGGAAAAAAAGTTTAAAATATTGGAGCTGTTAGCACCATGAGGGTGAGAGAAGACGTTCTCGTACGGTTCATAAAAAAGATATGATAAACTATTTGATTGTTGGGAACTTTGACTTTTTTATATTCGAAATATGACTCTCTAGGAGCAATACGATATTCAACTCAATGTTTCCTTATGACGTCTCTATTGGTCTTGTTCTTATTGTGCACTTTGTGAGCTCGTTTGAATTTGCGTTTAAGTAATCGTTCAGTTGTTTCCCTAACCTAACTAGAGAATGAACAAGAGGGAACTACAGTTACTACACAATTGCCACCACTCAATTGACAACCCAAGAAGGACCTTCGACTAAAAGGTGACATATGTCACCCTTCGACAAGTGCCACCACTCAATTTATCAAGGTCGACCACCGCCATCCATTCTTGAGCTCGGCCATCAAGAAAGGGGGAGGGTTGAACCCTGAAAAGGCCCATACTTGACCCTCTCTCGTCAATCATGTATCGTAACTACTATTTATATTCTCTCCATATTTTTCGAAATGGAAAAATATATGCAAGTCTTTAGAAGTCATGAGTATTAAATCAAAACTTTTACGAGGTGTCTAAAAACTCAATAATTAAACTTCTATAAAAGCCTTCGCGTAATAACTTTCAAGTAAAAAGTATATAAACAAAATCTCATTAAAAGTCTCTCATTTACCCCTCAAATTTTGAAACACTTACACACACACACCCACACAAAAGAATAATATGTAATATTTCTCTTTTATTCTACGAATCCTCAAATAATGATAAAACATCTTAAGATTTTTCTCTCTTCAACATATTATTGTTCTCATTTTAATATTCTCATTTGCTTCTCTCTTCTATTTCATAATTTTCTCCTTTTTTCTTTGGAAGGAAATACCAATTTGTAAATAAAATCCTTATAAGATTGTTCTCTTTTCTTTTTCACCGTTTCTTCCTTTTTTGAAAATAAACAAAAAATAATAATTAAATTTAAAGAATATCTTTATTGACATAAGAAGTATAATTTTAATATTGACGTGTGTTCAAGATCATTAGGTCAAGCAAATAGCGATTAAGAATCTAATTACGTTGTAATGTATAAATTAATAATTCAATAAAACAAGGAGGTG